CGGTGACTCTGAGGATCCGAGGTGGTATATTCTTTTTTGTTTCTGCACCGCCATCCACTCCTCCACCTTCTGTGTGTACCCGCCGCTCCTCCACCGGTCAACGTCGACGACCATGACGCCGGTGTTGAAGTAGCAGGGGCGTCGGCCCTGGAACGCGGCGGCGAGGGCCGGGTCGGACCAGAACGCCTCGGTGAAGTAGCTGGTGAAGTTGGCGTGGCAGTACTCCGGCGCGGCGAGGACCTCGCCGGCGAGGTCGGCGCACCAGAGCTTGGCGATGTCGTCGACGACGACGACGTCGGAGTCGAGGTAGATGACGCGGCGGACGTCGCCGGGGAGTATGTCCGCCATGTAGATGCGGGCGTAGTTCAGCGGCTGGTCCAGCGCCTGCCGGATCGACTTGGATATCTTGTCCCGGACCCGGGTCGGGTCGAACTCGTACGCCCGGAATTTCAGAAACGGGAACGTGGAATTTATCAGCGACGAGATCTCCGGGTCGAGGTGGACGGAGAGAAAATGGAACGAAACGTTCTCCGGGCAGGTCGAATGCTGCAGGATCGACAGCACGGCGGCCATTGTTCCCCTGATGTAGTTTCCGTCGAGCGGCATCACTATGTGGATTACGTCATCCGACGTGCACGTGCCGCCGTTGCGGAACGCCGGAGCTTCCCGGAAGGAAGGGACGACGACGGAGGCGGCGGCGGTGGTGATCGGTTTCTGGAGGCGGATGGCGGAGGAGGTTGTGGTTGGGTGGAGGAGGATTATAGACAGGAGGCCGAGGAGGTGGAGGAGGAGGGAGGAGGCGGTGGCGGTGGTGGTGGAGCTCCGGCGGGCCATCCTGTCCATGTAAAAAAAAGAGAAAAAAAAATGAACTTTTTTTTTTTTTTTGTTTTTTTTTGTGTTGTAATTGTTATGAGGCTTTTTATTAATATAGATGAGTTGTTATTTAGAGTATTTGAGGCTGGAAAAAATGGAATTTGTGAGAGAAATATGATTCGTATTTAGAGAGAGGAGAGAGAAAGTAGAGAGAGAAAGAGAGGATTTAGCAAAGATTCTGAGGTTAGGAACAAAAATAGGACAATTTGGTTTGACTTAACAAAGACAAAGGTTGACATTTACTTGACTGCATGGGAATATTATCTATATATATTACATAAGATTATGATCACAGTCAAAGGGACTTTTGGTTTTGACTTTTGACCAATCATTGATTAATTAATTATTAGTACATAGGATGAGAGCCATCAAAAACTATTAGAACTTAATTGTTATTACTTTTTTTTTTTGTGTGTGGTTTTAATTGATTAACATGGTTATTAATTTATTATGATATGTCTTAATAGGTGAATTCTTTCACCTAATATGTTCTACATTGGTTAGTAATTAGTACATATCATCGTTAATTAATTCACACACGAATCGTATGCAGTAGAATCTTGATAAATTAATAATCTTGTTTAAATAATAATTTCTTTAATTATCGATTCAGTAAAGATGTACTAAATTCTTAGTTTGACAATTTCATATTTTACTAAATTAATAGAATTTTACTAGCCACGACTGTATTAATTTATAAAGATTTAGTTGTAGATGCTCACTTAAATACTCTTTGCATATGGTATAGTTAAGGATTTGAATAACCTTCTATTTATTTAGTTGTAATTTTGAAGTAATTATAGAGAGAAATAATGGATTAAGAATATTTTAGTAACGTGAATCAAAGAATTTTTTTGCATAGCGCACCGAGTGTACCT